ATTATATTGTATTGTATTAATATTATTTATATATTTATATATTATAATATATATATAATATATTATTGTATAATGTATTAATAAATTTGGTTATATTTTTTCATTGGATATAAATAATGGACAGTATATATAATAAACAAGTATTTTATTATATAAATTAATATAAATATATATTAAAATATTATAAATGTTTTATTTTTTAAATGTATAAATGTTTTATAGTATTGATATAATCAGGGTTGCGAAAGGTTTACGATCTCAGGGGGTATAGGGGGGTGAAAAATTTTTATTGCATTTTTAAACGACAGTTTTTTACCATCTATAGCAGCCGTTATCACAATGATTATACGGTTCCTTACTTGAAAACAATTACTGACCAAGATAAAAAACAAAAAAATTCTAATACACAAATTTAATAACCTTTTTTATATAATATTAAATAAAATATACTACTTAATTAAAATTAATATGTAACAGTGTATTTGAGCTAGATGAAATATATTTTAATAAACCATAAGCTTCGACAGTGCATTTTAATCAAAATAATCAAAAATCACTTTGCTGATCACCAGTGATCTATAGTATAGATTCTATACTGCCATCGAATCTATAAATAAATTCAGTAAATTCCAAATAAATTACAAGTAAATTCCCTATAAATTCCCTATAAATTCCCTATAAATTCCCAATAAATTCCCAGTAAATTCCCTATAAATTCTCAATAAATTACCAGTAAATTACCAGTAAATTCATAATAAATTTCCTATAAATTCCCAATAAATTCCCAGTAAAATTCTAATAAATTCCTTTAATATTCCCTATAAATAGTCAATAAATTCTCACATAAATTTCATAAATAAGGAAAATATTCTCAAGTTAATTTTTTAAGACAAAATATATTCTCAAACTAACATTATATATAAGGTAAAAACAACTCCTATAATTACTTGCTTTTATTATTTAATTAATAATTAGTTACAATGTTGCTATTTTAAAATTATCAATAATGTACTGTATTTATTATTACGTCTTTAAAAAATAAATTATAATTTAGTTAATTAGTTATTACAGTGTCATAGCATTGATTTCGATGAATGAGATAATGATTTCGATTTAAGTGACAATGAATTCGATGACTGATATATTGAATTCGATTAATATGTTTATTGTATTATATTATTGGTTTACATTATATTTTAGATTTAATGCAAACTTTGACATTGTTTTACAGTTTGTCATATTCTATGCAAATATCGAATTCAATACATCAGTCATCGAATTGTTTATCTCGTAATCGAATTCATTGTYACTTAAATCGAAATCATTATCTCATTCATCGAAATCAATGCTATGACACTGTATTATAAAATCTGAAAAATACAAATCAAATTGTTTATTAATAAGCATAAAAATTATTACAAATTTATAAAATAAAAACATTATTTTTCTGGAAAAATGGAGGGAATTTATTAATGAATTATCCACCCTTTAGATGCCCGAACTCTAGATATTTTTCAGTATTTAATAAGTCTTTATTTTTTTATTTTGTAAGATAATCTATTTATTTATATTAAAACTCAATTAGTATTTATATTTTTGTTTAATATTAAACTTTACATTAATTATAAAAATTTTCGGCGCCGAAAATTGTTAGGGGACCCCCTAACTTTTTGACTAGGCCAGGGGGTAAAAGCTAAAAATCTCGATCTCAGGGGGGGTAAGATGGCTTTACCCCCTACTCCCTTTTCGCAACCCTGGATATAATATAGTATAACAATAGTTTTTATAGAGAAATATACTGCAATTGTTTAGTTTTATACAGTATTTTTAAAGTTTATGAAATGACACTTTTTATATTTTATTCTTTTTATTAAAATTTACTTAAATTAAAAAAATCAATTATAATTGAACCAAATTTGTACATATTTTAATAGTATATTATTGATAGTATATTATTAATAATAAATTTATAGATATTTTTTGTCTTAAAATAGTCATAATATAAGATATTAAATTAATTTTAAATTAAGATTTTAAAAATTATAAATGTTTTGCCATTTAATTCATTAAATTTTTATCACATTTTTTTATTTAATTTAGTCATTTTTCTTAATCATTTTATGCAAATATTTGCTAATTTGATAATTTTATTTTAAAATCAATATTTTATACAACTTAAACTTAAATTTTTGTAAAAATGTAGTAATATATGGAAATATGTGTTTCACATATTTTGATGTCTCTAGTTATTAATAATTTATGCACTAATTTTATATTTAATTTTAATTATTACAAACAAAATTACAAATAAATACTTACATTTTGTTTAACTCATTTTATTATTAAATATGTAGACTAACAGACTATTATTTCAATTTGATTTTTAAAAATTGTTTAAACAACTCTCAATAAAACATTTATTATGCAATCAATGTGTTATTATTTTTTAGCAAAATTTAATTTAAAAAATAACATTTTAATCATTATTAGTAGTTTTACAGTAATAATGTAAAGTTTATATATTTTATTACAACAGAATTAACTGTATTTACTTTATACTTAAAATTTCGATTCGCGTTTAGCCTTAAACACACGTTAAATGTAATTTTAATGATATAGTTTGTAATTTACGCTTTTATTATATCTAAATAATATAAACAATGTATGCATTTTAGTAATTTTATTTTTTACATTGAATTGAATTAAAAAATATTATTTTGTAAATTATAATAATTTTCGATATATATATAAACTATAATTTATAAATACTTCAACAATTGTCATAATTAAAGTTTTATTAATTGTTAGATATTGTAATAATAAATTTCAAACATCAAATAATTTACTTATAAATGTGTCGTATGCTATGATAATATGATAGCATAAATTAAATTAATAATATTATTTATTTTCCAAATTTATATTGTAAGCTTGATTATTTTACATAAATTTATTATATTATACATAAGTTTCTAGAATTTTTATTTAATTAGTAAGAATTTTGTTTTATAAATAATTTAATAATAATAATTATAGTTTGCTATAAATATATATGCAAATAATTTATGATTATATAAAATAATAATTTATAATATTTTTATTATTTATATAATAAGTTTAATTTTTAAATCTGAAGTTGAATAGATAATATATATCATACTTAATTATTGATTAAATAATTACAATGTTTTAAAATTATCTATAAATTTATTAAATAAAATGTTTCTACATTATTAAATAAAAATTTAGATAAGTTGTTAGCAGATAAAGCGTTCAAACAAATTAGGAAAGGGATCAATAAAATTTGGACATTTACAGTGTGTATTCAATACATATTAAAAGTAACACATTTTTATACATTGAGAATGGAGTAGAAAATATAAAATTTAGACGATTTATAATTGCAATACTAAAGCAATGTTAAAAATTATGACATTTATAGACATTTTAAGATAAATCAAAAACAAATTCAAAAAATCGTTGATTTATTTTTAGTTTTATTTTACTTATTTTATTTGTCAGTTAAGACTTTAGGACTGAAATATATAAACTACCTTATATTTTGATAATTTTAATGTTAAATTTGAGTCTCAGTTCATACAATTATAATAAATACTTTAAAATATTTGAGTTTACAGTAACATTATTTATTGAAATTATATTTGTGCTATTTTTAACTTTGTATAATACAATATAATTAATATATTATTTCAATACTTTATAAATTACATTAAATAATATAAAAAAGCAAAAGTTTAAAATAAAGTTATTGTTTTTGTCGTCGATTCTCTTAAAAATATTAAATAATCCTAAAGTAGTTCACAACAAATATGTTTTTTAACTATTGTTTTAATATTTGATGTGAAATTTTGAAATCAATAAAATTATCGTAATATGAGACAATTATTCGTAAAAATCGAAACGCTATATAAAAGTTGTCAAATATGAAAATTTTGTACAAAAATGTTATTTTTTGTAATGTTTCATTTAATTAAATGATTTTAATTAAATTTTTATATTGTAGTTAGATATTAGAATTGATTAAAAAATTATAAGTTGTATTAAACTATTTGTATACATAATGCTTCTCATAGTAATACAAAATTAGTTTTTCAGATAAATCAATCAAAAATAAGATGCATTTATAAAACAATAACATGCTATTACAGAATAATATATTTTGTTTTAAATTTTATATTATAATATTTATAGTACAGTAATTTATTATTATATATATTTAAAAATTATGTATCATATAAACTACAAGATATCTTTTATTTATTGCTTAAGTTATTGCTTTAAAATGCAATATAATTTAAAAACAATAAAAACAGATTTTTATATTTATACTATTATATCCAACTGTACATTACAATAAGTAAATTACTATTACTAAGTAAATAAACTAAATAAATTATATTGATATGTATGCAGTATTTATATTATATAAAATATTTTAATCATGTTTTTAATAATAATCAATAATATGAAATTAGCAATACATTTAAAATAGTTTATAAGATTTGTGATCCATTGAAATATAAATATAAAATATTAAAGAATATTTTGTATTTTAGTTGACATTTGGATAAAATGGTTGCTATCATTAACTGTCGATTATTATGCATTTATCGATGTTTGTCATATAATATTCAAAATTTTGAACTTACTTTTCGTATAAATTTAAAAATTTCTGCTTTTGAAATATTGATATATAGATAGATATTACGATTCATTTAATGTATGAATAAAATGTCTTTACAGTAAAAATGTTAATAATATGATATATAATAGCATACAATAAGAACATGTATAATATCAATAATTTTAAATATCAAATAATATATTTTCATAACTTTGAAGTAATATATTATATGTTATGTATGATTGTATTATATTTTGTTATTTTTAAGAAAATATAACATATTATGTTTACAGTAATTCATGAGTAATTAATTATATATACGATATACTTATGATATGTAATATGTTTAATGCGATCAAGAAATGGCACAGTCGTCTGCATCAGAGGTCGGTTCTCTACTTTTGTTGACTTTCTTAGAGGACCTCCTAATTAAACTTCTACTCCTAGGCTTTAGTCGTTGTCCGGTTTCGTCATCAGGAATGGCGTGATTTGGTGTTAGACTGGTATTGCCTGCAAATCTTGATTTTCCGTTTTGAACCCTCGCCTGAGCACTGGATCGACGACGAAGTCCCTCATCATTAGGCAGAGGAATGCGAGCCAAATGAAGAAATGCATTGAATATCTCCTTAACATTTGTATTGTTTTTGGCCGAACACTCCATCACCTAAAATGTCAACAATTATTAGTCATTTGCTTTCATTATATCTTCAGTTTCATACTTTTGTTCGCAATTTTGGTAATTCACAGAAAACCTGAAATTAAATGACATATCATTTAATGTATAATTTTTAATTATACATTATTATTGACAAATATTTTTTTAAATCATATAATATATACTTATGATAAATACTATATATATATATTTAAAAATTGCATTAATATGATAAATATTAATAAAATAAACATTAAATTGATGAATAATGAGTAAATATTGTAGCGACTATTTATAATTTATATTATATAATAAATTTAAGTAAATATAGCATATTTGAAATAAATTTGTGATAATAATTATTGTAATTATTATAAATGTTAGTTTAAATTTTTATCATTTATTATTTTAAAGAATAATTTTTAATTTAATTTACATTAAAAGTTTTTAATGCCACTAATTAATATAACAATTAGTGAATATCATATTTTCTTATATTTTTTCATATATTTTATTGTTAACTTATTTCTATTTTCTAATTGTGATTATAAGTTATATTAAAAAAATTTACGAAATTTATTATTTTAATTTACCAATAATGCATATTAAAAACAAACAAATCTACATGAATTAGTTTCTTAAAAAGCACATATATATAAAAATATATATCTAATATTTTTTTTTGTTTACATTATTTATAATTTATTTTTGTTATTTATTTATAACAAAATTGTATTATTATATTATTTTTGAATTTTTCATAAGTACTATATTTGCAATAATTTATTATTTTTCTCAAACAAATTATTTGGAAAACAAAAACATTGTGTAGTTTAAAATCCATTAAAAGTCAAATTATAAACAAACAATAATATTTTACAGTATATTATTTTTTATAAAATAATTTTATATAAGAAAACAATTGTATGTTTTACTGAGATTTTAGTCTTAAAAATAATAACACTATCAATCAATCACTTTTAAATTATATAAAAATGTGTTTAAAAATTTTGTTTTAATATTTTCTATATTTTATTCTTAACTTTTTATTATAGATATATGTAATAATTAAATCCAACAATTAATTAAAATATAAGTATTAAATAATATATTATATTATAAATACCATACGTATACAATATTATATACCGAAACATAACGTATAATACTTTAAATATATATTATTTGTGTATAAATTATACTCTAGTAATAATTGGATACAATTTTTACTTAATAACACTATACTTGTATTATTGAAAGAAATACTTAAATTAATTTTTCTTTCAATGGTTAAGAAGTCTTATAAGGTATGTGTTATAATGTAATGCAATGTGTAATGTAAGGCATATACAGTAAAATAAATCAGTAAATGCAATAAAAAGTCAATTAATTATATTCATGTTTGTGTATATAAATAGTATAAAAGTGGTAGAAATAGTGGTAGTACTGACCCATTCAGCCATATCCTCTTTGGGCACTTCTTTGAATTCATCTGAGAGATCACATTTGTTACCCACAAATATTATCGGTATTTCCTATACACAGTAATTTATGGCACCGGGAGGTAGGGATAAAACGCGTTAAAGAAAATACATTTGTCTTAAATCACAAATAAATTGAGTGATTAATTAATTTTGTATTTGTTATATACTATACCTGAAAATCAGTCCTCACTTCTTTGATCTCCTCAAAGCAAGTCTTGATTATATCGAAAGTACTCGACTTATCGATACTTTATAACAAATAGAGTAAAATTAAATTCATTTGATTTGATTTGATTTAATTTATATATAAAGTTTGTTAGTATTGCTAGATATTAGATAATTTCTAATAAATTAATATATTGTATAACAGTCATCATATACACATATATAGAGCCTATTATCATAGTTACAAAGCCTTCTATTATTTATCTAACAATTAATTAATAATTATTAGATAAATTAGAATACTATTTATAATTGTCATATAAGTAAATAATTTTAAATTAAAATATTTATAGAAAATCATATTTACTAAAAAACTATTCAATTTAATAGAATATTATTATAGACTATATATTTAAACAAAGCCTTACCAAAGCTTTTTTTAAAAATAAGTTATATTACTATAAGAGTACATAAAAGCACACATTTTTATGCCTCCAAAATACACTATTTATTATACAGTGCCATAACTCATCACATTTTACACACAAAAAATCATATACATATAATTTTGTATACTGTCTAATAAAATAACATTTTCCCATTTCACCCACTTTATACCCCTCAAATATCATAGATTGCTTAACCCTGATAATTAATATTTATTTGTAAACAAAAAGACAAACAATTTACTAATTATTTAATTAGTTTATAACTTTTAATTTTTAAAAATCTATGACATTTAATGTGCTTTTAAAGCAATTAACATTTATGTATAATTTTATATACATTTATATACATATTTTATGTATTGATATTTCATACATCTGTTGTAATAATAGTAAAATATTGTAATCATTATATAAAGTTTTTTAGTGCTCTTAATATTTGGGCTAATAAATGTGATATATTATGTACTCTTATAGTTATATTAAATGGATCAATGATATGATATAATCTTTATATACAATATATCTTATATCCTAATTGAAGGGTATATTTAATACTATAAATATTAGAATATGATATGTATTAACAATGAATACATTTATCATTTATAATATACATTAGACATACCTATAGACTAACATAAATGCCTGTGCGTTGGCAATGGACAGTCTTCTCATTGCTGGAAACTGCATATCTCCTTCAGTGTCCAAAAAGTCAACCTTTAATTTAATATAATATCAATTATATATAAAAATAGTATAAATTATTATTTGCAGTTTTATAAAAATTTGACAATACATTAAATTTGTCAACACAAAATATTATAAAATATCAATTTAATAAGTTTTAATTAATTTATAATAATTAAAATATTAATTATTATATTCTACATATTAATTATTATTATTATTATTATTATATATACTATATATTCAATTTTTAGTGCAATTTTCTTAATATTATTTTACTACTAATTACTTGTCAGTATATGATTGTCATTGTGATCATTAAATTAGTTTTTTTGCTTATATCATATCTAACAAAACTAATCCGATTTTATCCTTAATAACTATATATACAGTAATAAACATTTTCAGTATAGAGTAATAAAATAACATTAATTCTTATGATTTATTGACAGGCATTAGATATTTTGATGAATACTATAATAATTATTAAAATTATTTTAACTTTAATCTAGAATTTACATAAAATTCTAGAGACCAGTGAAAACAAAAAATATAAAACGTTGAGTGTTATCGTGTTATCCATTGAAATACAAATCATTGATTAAATCACAAAACGCAACAACGACTACACAACCAATGAATCAGCCGTCGATTGCAGACAAATAATAATAATAATAATAATAATAATAATAATAATAATAATAATAATAATAATAATAATAATAATATATTTAAAATTAGCTAAAAGTGCAAACCTTTAGAGTCATAGTTCCTAAGTTAAAGTCTTTGGTGAACAAGTCCTCAACTGTTGGTTTGTGTTTCTCATTGAATGTATTGAATAAAAATCTCTGTTTTATAATAATAATAAAATGCTAATTATTTTTAACAATCAAATTGAAAACTATTGAAGTAGACATCAATTTACTAAAATGTAAATTAACAAACTTATGCCATTTATATTTGAATCAATACATTTAAAACTACTTATGCTAAACAAGTACAGTATTATTACTATAATATATTTACTATAAATATATATATAAATAGAATGAAAAGTATATATATATATATTGATATACTGTATATTAAATTTATATAATATATTAAAGAAGTTATATAAAAGGTATTAATCAAAAAGTTTTATAGATATTATAAGTCAAATGAAAAGATATAGAGTATTATAAGTATTGATATGAGATTTATTAATGATTTTGCATAACATAAGTATTGCAAAAGCATTGCATTGATTGATACCTTAAGAATAGCACTTTTGCCAACAGAGACACCTCCGAGAGTGACGAGTCGTATACGGTATGACTCCTCTGTCATTATATGCGCTATTGATTATAATAAGTTATATACCAATCAATTGTAGTATAACTGGCTTTATATGAAAGACCGCCGCTTTTTTCGTTAGCTTTTATGATATGCTTTTTACGTGAATTGTTTGTATCGATGTATTAAATATCAATACAAATGTATTATTGGTTGCATTGGCTGCTGATATGTCTGAGGATATTACAGGTCTTGTGTCTTATAAGGACTCGTGTGTTATGTGTTTCCCTATTTAGCTCTGAGTACTGTTCCGTCTATTCTTCAGCATATAGTTTGCCAAAAGCACGGGTAATGATCTGCAAGAAAAACATATATATATATAATAAATAGTTTATATTAATACAACTGAATCACATTAACTGCATATCAATAACACTTTTTATGTCACATTATTTAGATATGTGATGACACAAACATATAAATGTTCACTAAATATATATAAAATATAATTTATTTTATTAAATTACATATTGTTATAAACTAATGTATTTACAGTATATAATAAAACATTATTCCATAAATATATAAATTTATTATAAGTTTTGATATAGACTAAAATAATACAAGTGTAAGTTATATAACTTAAATTAAATAATCTATAAAAATTTTCATCATTGTTATAGTATTATAAAATTATATAATATATTTGATAAAATTTTTAGTTAAAGTATTTCTACATATTATATGATTGTATATATTGAAACTTGATAAATTTTATAAATTAATTATTATAAAATTATATATTTATAATATATTTGTTTATAATTTTATTAATTTCTAATTAAATTTAGTTAATATAAAAATAATATAAGGGTTTATTTTATTAAATAATTTATTTAATTAATTTAAATATTTACTAATTTATAAATATCAACATTTTTCAATTATTTTTTAACTTATTTATAAAATAACTAATTGTTAAAATCAATCCATATATAATACTTTCAATTACTTATCTATTAAAAATTAAAATAAAATATTAGTTTGAATTTAACAATTTAACTTATTATAATAAATTATAAATTAATTAGTATTTAATATAGTAGAGTTTAATATAATAATAATATTTAAACAATTTTATTGATATTTTGTGCTTTATTTAGTAACATATTTAATCTAAACTTATTTTTATTGATTTCAATTTTCATCTGCAAACACAAATTATAGTTTATATACAGTATAAATAAAAATAATGTATTTCATAGTTATTAAATTGCCAAATAACGTGCGTTTATTAAATAATACTCTGATATCAAAAGCATTTATTTATAACATTGAATGCATCGGTAAATTAATATTAAATTCAATTTACGTAAATAATTACATTTTATTTGTTGTTTAGCAATAATGCCTAAACATTATTACTACAGTAATAACTAGTGTTAAGCTTTAAGGCATTAAAAGTATTTTTTTTAAGTTACAATAATTTTTAAAATTTTCTATCTTTTGTTGTTTATTTAACAAACAATTATTGTTTTACTATAATTGTAATTCATTAGTTATCAATAATATGAAAATAACAGTTGACTGGATTAAGTCTATTATTTGTTTGGCAAAACTCCGGACATCAGTGTCCTAAAGCTATGTCAGCTCTTAATAACTATAAAAAAGACAAATGACTGAAGTCTTTATTAAAAAAAAACACAAATAAAGACTATTTTTGATGATATCAACTCAAGAGTTGATCTCGATTTTGATGTCATCTTTAAGATGATTTTGACATTGGATTTAGGACTATGTATTAACAATACTTTTCTATATAATATTTAACTTAAATCATAATACCTTAAATCATCAAAATAATCATTTTTTATTTATATCATTAAATGTTTTCAATGTACTGTAAATACAGTATAATAAAAATAAATAAATAAAATTGTGAGTTTATTAAAGATTATATAAAAGAATATATTATAATTAGTCAAACATGGAATTGAAGACTAGAAAAATTTGATAATTTTAAATATTTTTTATAAAACAATAAAATTATATTTTTTATTTATAAAAAATAAATAATTTAAAAATAACATTTAGAAATTAATGGTAATTTATCTAAAGATGATCTTCTAAAATGTTTATTATAAAACATATACCGTAAGTGATAACAGTTACTATTAATACATTATAATATTGATTATTATTTTGTAGTCTTTTAATTTAAAAAATTGATTCATTTAATTTTAAATTTTTATGCCATTATCTTTTAGTAAAACGTGTTATTAGATTATAAAAAGCTTTTAATAATTTGACATAATTTTCATATAATAATTGTATAATTACAGTAGTATTATATAATAGATTAACATTTTATGCAACATAAAAATCTAATGTATTATTAGTATTGCAATAATATAGTATAAATAATAAAACATAACATAACTGTTTAAATTATAAAAACAAACTTTTATTTTTTATAATTATATTTTTATAAACATAATCTAAAGATATTTTTTTAATTAAATTATTTTATTAACAAAACATATTTTTATTTTGATCCAATACTTATTGAAATATTTGTATGACATATAATTTGATGCATTTAGAATATTTAACTATAGTATTTATAATATCTATTTATAATTTATTAATATTTTGAGTTTGAAATTACTTATTAAATTGTATATAGATTTAAAAATAATAAAAGTAAATACATTTGTATAATATAAAAATAATTGTAATGATAATATGATAATACATTATATAAATATATATATATAGTATATATTGTTATCTATAATTGCAAACGGATTCGCTTTCAGCTAAATATTATTAAGTTATTTGCATTAAAATTTTAATATAGAATTACAGTATAAATATGATAATTCTTTTAATATATGAATATGCATATACTGTACAAACTGTATTACATAAGTATATATATATATATAATTTATATTACCGGTATATAATGAAAAATTCTTTATTTAATACAACAATAATATAAAAGTAAAAATCAATATTTGTAGATATAATCTCAAATAAAACATGAGTTTAAAAATAACATCTAAAGGTTCACTTTATCTAACTATTTATCAATTTATTTATATCTTAACAAAATATATTTCTTTTATTTAAATATTAAATATTTTTACATAATATTTTTATTAAATTTAACAGTTATTTGTTAATTTAGTTTAAGTAAATTAATATAATTATTATATTATTCAGATAAAACAGTAAAAAATTTAATTATATTTTATAATATTTTAACACAGGTAGAGATGGGCTAATATAAATTTCTATAGAAATTTTACTTTATTAGTACTCTATGGTATCCATATATAGCTATTGTAGTATTATACTAATGAGACAATATATATATATACTATACAAATGGTATCCCTATATATAAAATTATAATAATTCTAGTTTTGTAAAATTTTATTAATCATTTAATTATATTTTTAGTTTAATATAATTAAAAAGACTAATTTTTACTTTAACTAGTAATTAAAATAATAATAATATTTAATTATTAAATAAAATAATACAGTAATAACATTTAATTATTACTTGTAACCATAATGTATTGTTAAAAGATAACTAATATTGAGAGAGCAAAATTAACATGAAGATCGTATAGACAGAAATTTCTTTAAGAAACTTTCTAGAAATTTCACTTTTTGCCAACACTAAGTACAGATAATGTTAACAACAGAGATCTGATATTTTAAAAACTATAGTAAATGAGATATTTATTTTGTAAAAACTTAAATATAAGATAATATTTAATATAAAGTTTATTTCTACATATAGTAATAAAATAAGTTAAACTTAGTAATTTAAAAATTAAAATATAGTATATTTCATATTACAGTTAATTTTAAGAGATTTTATATTTCAGATAAAACAATTCATTAATTGATTTTGATTAACTAATTTATTTAAAATTTGAGATATTTATCTTAATTATAATTATTTATTAAATACTATTAAATATTTTTTAAATATCATTAATAATAATAATAAAAATTCTAACATAAAAATATTTTTATGTATATTTAATTTCGAAAAATAAATTAATAAAATCCATTATAGTTATATTTAAAATGTAAAAGTTATTAAAGTTAAAAATAAAATAATATACCTTGGCAATTTAATTTCTTGATAATCAATACAAATTTATTTCAATATTATATTACATTACTAACAATGCCAAAACAATTCTTCAATCATTTTTATAATTAGTATAATTTAATCCCAACAAAATTTTAAAAAATTTTATATAATATTTAAATATCATAATTTATAATTAGAAATTACAAAATTCTAAATTAATTAAGAATTAATTAAATAAATCAATATTTGTTAATATAAACAATGATTCAAATATAGTTGTGTAGTAATAAAGGATAAAACTTTTACCAATTATATATAATGATGTGAATAGTATGTCATAATTATAATCATATAATAACGTTAAGACTATAACAAAACAAAAATATATTTTATAAATATATATTTATTTTACAAAAAAAACTTAAAATTTTGTTTTCTCAGTATAAATCTTTTTTTGTGTACTACAGTAAATTGTGTATTTGAATGAAATTTACAAAAAAAGTAAATTTATTTTTATATGTCAATCAATAAAGTATACTGTATTATTATTTTTATATTTATAGGCACATTGTTATGTGGACTGTAGAAATAAAATAACAACTTGTGATCAAATATTTGAGATTGAATTTATGTTATGATTTTCAATTATATAATTACTATTTCAAAATTCAGTAATTATTTTGAATCTCATATTATTATAAATATTTGAGATTATATATCATATGTATGGACATATCATCTCTAACTCATTTGTATCTTTTATTTATTCTTAATCTCTCTCTCTCTCTCTCTCTCTCTCTCTCTCTCTCTCTCTCTTCTCTGATTAAAAGTAAATGAGGTTTTATATAAGTAATTCAAATATTAAAGCAATTCATTTATGAACTCAATTATACTTTTTTCAATACAACGATATTTTCACTCAAAGTTTTCAAAGTTTTCACTCGTTTAGCAATTGATTTAATAGCAAAATATAAAATCATATATTTAAAAGCAAAGCACTTCTTAAAATGAGTTCAACTCAAACCTCAAACATATTTGTATTATTTGTAAAATACAGTCCTTTTTCATATAATAACATTAAATATAAATATAATTTTTCATTATACATATATTGTGAATGTAATATATACTATAAATTATATTTTAGATTAAAATCTAAAGTTTAAGTATAATACTGTATATATAAAGTAT